CCAATCCCTAATGGTCTGGGATTCTGTGAGACCTCATAGGGGCGACTGCTGTTTGCTGGCAGGGCTGGTACTGCACTGGAAAGACACCTTGGTTTTCTGGTCAATGTTTGCAGCCGAGGTGAGAGCTGATGTGGAGCTGCTTGGGAATTAAATGTGAAGAATGATGAATGTGAAAGAGGAGCTACCTTATATTGCTCTACTGAATCTGCTGTGTTTATTTAGGATGGAAAACTGATCAGAGTGGTGTTCAGCATCCTCTGTGGTTCTACACATAACCTCTACTGAAAAAACCACTGAAAACTGTGCTTTGGTTTCAAAAAGAAGAAACTTGCTGATTTGTATAAGGGTTTTTTGTGTGTTTTGTCTCTTTTTGTTGCTGTTTTTTCTGTGTATTTGATGGAATTTTGCAGTAAATGCCAATTTTGAACCCCTTGCAGCTGGGCAGCTTGGGATGAGGCAGCAACTGGTTCAGGGTCATTCATGTGAGCTGTGCCTCGGTGCCTGCGCGGTGAATTTAGGCGTCTTTTATTCAGCCATCACACACGCCAAATTTCCATCCTGATTTGCATTGCAGACCCTCAAATCCTACTTGAATGTTTATTATTTCACCCCTTCAGTCCTATCGCCTCATTCCCAAGTGACTCACCCTGTCGGCTGCAGGCTCCCAATGCCGCAGGCTCCACTGCTGTGATTTTTAGGATGCAGAGGACCGATGTGGTGAGCAGGGGACCTGGTGTGCAGGCAGAGGAGGCTCTCACCTGTGTGAAATCCAGATGCAATTGGTAATAGAGGGAAAAGCAGGCAGCAGAGACTGTTTTGTGAGCAGAGCAGGTCTGTCTGCACTCAGATTGCCTCTTATGTCCAGCAGTGAGTCCCAGCCTGACCAGTGCAGAAGGGATTCAGCAGCAGGGACTGAATCAGCAGCGGATGGAGAGGGAGGAGAGGAAAGCTCGCAGCAAAGCAACTGAGTGCCGGAGGTGAGTGCTGGCTCTTTGTGAGCAAAGGAAGAGAAGTGGGGTGGGAGGTAAGAGGGGAAATATTTCAACCAAACGCTGCGCTGTCAGCAGGAGATTTGGAAAGGACTGAGAGCTTCGAGAGCTGCTCCTTGTGCTGGGTCGTCTGGCTGGGTGTGAGAGCTGCGAGGATTGCGGTTCTGGGATGTCAGCAAAGTGGTAAAAAGGGGTTTTGGACTTAAACAGCTGGGAAACCTCTCGAGGGACTGGAATAACCAGGAACCCATGGATGGCTTTCACTCTCCCACAAAGGCAGGAGGGCAGGATGTGATCAATGGCACCAGCAGCAGGAAGAGCTGGGCAGAGGAAGGCGACTCCAAGTTGTCCTTCCGTGTGGTGACAGCGACTTTGCTTCTCCTCCTCGTCCTCTCCACGCTGCTGGGCAACACCTTGGTGTGTGTGGCTGTGGTCAGGTTCAGGCATCTCCGCTCCAAGGTCACCAACTTCTTCGTCATCTCCTTGGCCGTGTCCGACCTCTTCGTGGCCGTGCTGGTGATGCCCTGGAAGGCTGCCAGCGAGGTGATGGGGTTCTGGCCTTTTGGGGCTTTCTGCGATGTTTGGGTGGCTTTTGACATCATGTGCTCCACAGCCTCCATCCTCAACTTGTGCATCATCAGCGTGGACCGCTACTGGGCCATTTCCAACCCCTTCCGCTACCAGAGGAAGATGACGCAGCGCATGGCCCTCGTCATGATCGCGGGGGCTTGGCTGCTGTCCCTCTTGATCTCCTTCATCCCCGTGCAGCTGAGGTGGCACAAGGATCACGAGCTCTTCAGCCAACAGGAACCGGGTCTTAACATCACCAGGGATGAGGAGAGCTGCGACTCCAGCCTCAACAGGACCTACGCCATCTCCTCTTCCCTCATCAGCTTTTACATCCCTGTTGCCATCATGATCGGGACCTACACCCGCATCTTCTGCGTCGCCCGGCGGCAGATCCGCAGGATCTCCTCCCTGGAGCGGGCGGTGGGACATCCCCAAAGCCGCCCCAGCACCGACTGCCCTCAGGAGGCCTCGCTGAAGAGCTCCTTCAAGAAGGAGACCAAGGTCCTCCAGACCCTCTCCATCATCGTGGGCGTCTTTGTTTTCTGCTGGCTGCCCTTCTTTGTGCTCAACTGCGCGGTGCCCTTCTGTGATCTTGAGGTACAGGAGCTCCCTTGTGTCAGCGAGACCGTCTTCAACACCTTTGTCTGGTTTGGCTGGGCCAACTCGTCCCTCAATCCCATCATCTACGCCTTCAACGCAGATTTCCGCAGAGCTTTTGCCACCATCCTGGGCTGTGGCCGCCTTTGCCCCAGCGACGCAGTGGAGATGGTGACCTTCAGCAATGAGCTGGTCTCCTACCACCACGACACCACCCACCAGAAGGAAGTGGTGACCCTCAGCTACCCCCAGCTTCTCCCCCATGTGGCCCTGCAGATGGAGACCAACGAAGGGTCCCTTGAGAAGGTTTCCCAGGTCTCTGAGCCTTCTCATGACATCTCCTTGCCTGCGGTGCCGCAGATGGAGCGCGGAGCGGCCGTCTCGCTGGAGAGGATCATGCCTTTCACCAGCAACGCACTCAACTGAGGTGGGGTTGGGAAAAGGCCGTGGGATGGTCTTGGGGAGAGATGGAAGCAGGGACTGCTGCTGCAGCTGCCCGTCTTCGGAGGAGTTTGAGGATAAGTTTGGTCTTGTGCTCTCTCTCTGGGCAGGAGTTTGCATTAATACGTGTGAAAGGGCCAGAGCGACGTTTCCAGATGGCTCGAGGGGTTTGGAGGTTGGTTTTGTAACTCTTGGGCAGAGAGCTGTTGCTGACCCATGGAAAAACGCTTTTTTCTGCGAAAAACTGAAAAAGCAAGGGCTTGAATTCCACTTTCCTGGGAGTTCAGCTGAGAAAGCAAAGCCTTGTGTGGTCTGCTCAGCTTCTGCAGAGTCCGGGAAGGAAAAACGCAGCTGGTTTTCTCCCTGTGCCCAAAAGACATCAGCCCATGGCTACTGAATGGGCACAAACCAAATGCAACTGCTCCCTTGGTGTGCAGCACCAGACAACGCTGCTTGTGCTCGGTGGGGTGAGGAAACCCACGTCTCGGGTGGGCTGGCTCAGTCCCAGGCTCAGCTCTGACCCTGTGTGCTCGGCTCCTGCAGGTCCTGACAGGTACGGAGCCACCTTTCCCGGGTGCAGCACGTCTGGAGCGTGGGGCAGGGAAGGATTCAGCATCCCAAAGGTCTGCTCTGCCCCCTGCAGCAAGAGCCAGCCTCGCTAAGCTGGGACATGCACATGAGGGCGGTTTAGGATGAACATGAACTGTGTTTTTGGCCCAGGATGCTGGACCATTTGCTTGGAGCCTTTGCAAACGGGGGTTTCTGAGCCCTTCAGACCCTGGGGGTAGAAAATCAGCTGCTAAAGCCAGAGCATCGCTGTTTTGGCTCCTGATCTCCCACCCTCCTCCTTTTCCCAGCCTGTTTCTTCCCCTTTTTTACTTTTGTTCTCCTTTTAACTCCCTTCCTCCCCCATTTCCTTAAGGATCCCTCCTTGCTGTCTCATTTCAATACTAACGCCTTCTGAAGGAGCTCGCTTTGCTCCCCTCTACTCTTTAATTACCCTCTCCTGTGTATGGGGCCTCGTGAATGTTTCTGGAGGTAGAAGCAGCAGCGGTGTTTTGATCTGTGCCCGCTTAAACAAGCGGCTCATCCCCATCGCCTCGAATCCGAGACATCTTTAGCTCCCTGGCACGCCAGCGAAGCCTCTCCCCGGCAAAAACGTTAACAAAGGGGAAAATCAGAAAGTGATAATTACAGAGCGATGGTAATTATTAAATAGAGCCCAATTATAGGCAAGTTACGGCATAACCGGCGTGGGAGGGGAGCAGAGCTCACTGTATCTCCCCAAGGTAAGACTCGGCATCGTTTATAACCATCTCCCCCTGTGGCACTGGGGGTCAGCTGCCAAAATTGAGACAGTCTGGGGGCTTTTCAGCTCTGGGAGGATGGTAGAGCCTGATTTTAGAGAAGGAGGAGTCGTTCAGAGATGGAGATGATCATCTGCCGCGTTTCTCCGAGGCCCAACACGCCTGATTTCATTTGCTGCAATATTTGTAATGACACTAACGCCCTGCTTTTAGTGTGGCTGTGCTTTATTCTGGGACTCCTGGCTTGGAGGTGAGATGGAGTCAGAAGACGCAGCTTTTTTTCAGAGCAATACTGTCCCGGCATCCCTGGTTTTGAGGAGTTTACTGGTACTCAACCATGGCTTTTTGAAGAGATCGGAGAAAAACAAGTAGCTCGATGTGCCACTGTTATGGTGAATTATCTAAGAAGTTGCATGGTAAACTCTCATCATAAAGACAACGTGAAGGGTGATGTGATCCTTATTTCTGTCCAGTCATTGCCTGCATTTCACTTGTATTTGGGACCACCATCTCCAAAGCACTGGGGGTCTCCTCAGCCATCAGCATCAGAGGAGATGAGGTGGTGACAATGAACTAAACCCTAAAAACCTCCAGGTTATGGAACAGACATGCACATTACTGACACTTCTGTGGTTGGCCTGGGTGTTCCTCTGCTGCTGTGGAGGTGCCAGGGCCCCAATATTATCTTGGTTATGTGAAGAGAGATCATTAATTGGGGAGAGGTGTCCAGGACCCTATTAGACACTACTGGAGAAAGGTCTGTGGTTCATCCCTGCTCACAGGTAAATGCCATTGTGCTGCCCTGGTTGTGATGTGTAGCCCAGAAAGCACAAAATCCATGCACATTTTATTACATCAGCCCAGGAAGACTGGAAATTAACCACGTGCAGGTGCAGGGTGGATGCAGAGGTTGTGCCCACTGCTCCTTTCCCATCTGGGTTGCAAGAGGAGCGCATGTCGGGGGGTAACAGCGTGAGGAAGGGGGTGGTTTTTGCCCCTAAAGGGTTATTTCAGGTTTAGGGGGAATGGATTTAGCAGAGATAGGGGATGGGGCTGGAGTAGGTTGCTGTCTTGCCTGATTTTGGTTTCAAAGGGGAAACATCAGCTGCTCTTCTCATCAGGCAGAGGCCAGGGCTGGTCTCCAAGGGAAGCAGCTCCAGATAGGGGTCAAGAGGATGAGGGTCTCTTGTGAAATCTCAGGCCTGGCTTTCTCAATCTAAATGGTAATTTCCAGCCATCAGCCCGCAGCAGGGATTAACCCTGCCAAGGAGGATTTGGGGAGAGCAAGGCCAGAATCCCCGCCAGCATCGGCGCGGGGATGGCTCTGAGGTACCAACCGCGCAGCCTCGGCTGTGTCTGTGCCTCTCGCAGTGCACGGAGCACGGAAAGGAGCCCAGACACAGCTCTGCTCTGCTCCTACAAGAGGAATAATGAGGGTCATTAGTTATCTTTGAGCATATTGCTAACGAACCCTTCGCTTTCATCAGCCTTGCTCAACAGCAGTGACTAGAGCTGGGAGCAGCTCAGGGCTGTGTAGGAGCCATCTCTGCTCCTGCTGAGGAGCAATGGGAATGGATTACACCCTAATGCTGCCTTTATTTCAGTTCTGAGCAATGTTTTAAGTTCCTGAGACCCTTACTGCTCCAGAAACACCCACCTGGGGCAAATCACCCCCCAGGATTTATGCCTTAACTCATTAAGGAAGGAATGTGAAGCTTGGACTTCAAAATGTGCAGCACCTGTGGGTCTCATTGGCTTCATCTGGTGTTCCTAACCAGGCCCAAACCTGCAGTGAATCACCTCAAAACTCAACCTCTGGGCAGCAGAGGCTGCTTTGTGCCATGGCTTCCCTAAGAAAGAAGAGAAAATGGCTAAAACCAGGGGGACTTCTGGCCGGAGGAATCCGTGCCGTTATGGAAAAGTGTTAGCATTTATTTGTAGGGGAAAATAAGCATGGAAAAAACCATATTTATCGGTAGGAAAAGTGTATTTATTTGTAGGGA